TGGAAAAGAGCAACAACAAAAGACACGTTCGACGTCCCAAGTTGGCGGCGCGCACAAGCGGGTAGGGGGCGGGGTGAAGGCCGGGAAGGCTTCTTTGGAAGGAGGCTGCTTCTCAGGAGGCATCGGCCCTGCACCGACGGAGAAGAAGGCCCGCGCCTTCTAAGAAGCAGGAGTGCTTCTAAGAAGCCTTCCCCCCTCCCCCGAGCTCCCTCTGCGCGAGACGTCCCAAGAGCGCCCCGAAGCACCCAGAAGCCAAGGGGGGCACGACCCGGAGCCAGAAACAGGCCGTCCCACCGTGAGGGCAAGTGCGGCTGTCCAGCAGGCGAGGCCCATCGGACCACAGCAGGTTGCAGGGAAGTCGTGAGAGGGGATAAATCAAGGTGCAATGAATCGGGCGGGTGGTAACCCAAGAACCCCTCGAGTCATGAAAAAATGACCGTCAAAAACCACCTCAGCAGGAGAAACCTGTCCCGGGGAATTGGTCGAGACCTCTGGGGGTCGACGTGATGAAAAATTCCTGACGTCGGGGGCCTGGGATGGGGTGACCTACATGGGGGTTGAGGAGAAGGACCCTTAAGGGGCCCTTTCTCAGATTGTTGGGATCAAAAGGGGCCCGAAAGAGGCACTACACTACAGGGCCCCGTGAGGGTCCTGTTCTTCACCCCCCAAATTTAAATCACTCCCCATTACCGCCCGCCCGAAGGAAGGCCGCGCCCACCTCTGGGCCAGACATCTGGGCGCAAGCCACGGTGCAGCAAAGGCCGCCCACAGCTCCTGGCCAGACAGCCGTGGGCAACCCCCTGTGCAGCGGAGGCCGGAAAACCCCTGCGGGCAGCATCGGCAGGGCCTCGCTTACATACGCGGCCGGGCCCGTGGGCCCAGGGCTGGCCCACGTTTTCAAACTCCCTCCCCCCCCCCCCGGATGATCGACTTTGACCCCCAGGGTCCCAGGACCGATCAGCATCGAATCGGGAAATCGGATCGAATCGGGATGTGCGTCGGATCGGGCCGCATCTGCACGGACTCGGAATCGAATCGAATCGGCCACGCAAGGATGCACAACAGCGCCACACAAGCGCCTGGCCGCACTGGATCGCCAGCATATCGAAACCGAATCGGACCTGGCCAGCTGGACTCGATATCGAATCGGATCCATCGGATCGAAATGGCCGCCGGGGCCTGGGGCCAATGTTCGGCCATTTATGAAGGGGCCCTGGGACACACAAATAAATACACACAAATAAACAGATTCCCATATTTTCCCATATTTTCTGGGTGTTTGTCTTCCCCCCAACTTCCCATAGTTTCCCATATTTTCCTGGGAGTCGACGATTAATTGTGTCTGTGTGTTTCTTTCCTTCCTGAATTTAGGGGGCTCTGTCAGCCACGAGATGGGCGAACACGGCCGTCGACTTGGGGCCTCCGGCTGGGCTGGCGCCCTTCCGGCGCTCCGTGGAACTCGGGGCAAGGACCAAGTAGAGAGGGGGAACGATCGGAGGGGGACCAGCTCGGGGAGGGGGAAAGCCGACTCAGAATCGGCGATGCATCGCCGCGAGGTTGGCGACAGGTTGGCGATAGGCTCTCGATGGCGAAACCACGGACGGTCCTGGGCAGGGTGCGCTCTCAGGCCCCTCTCGGCGATCGGTCGGGGTCTGGGGGTCGATGCGTCCCCTCCTGGGCCGGTCCCCCCTTAACGTGGCCCCTGAAGAGACGGGCGGAGGGTGCGGGAATGGCCTCGTATCACTGACTTCTGCTCCCAATGTGGAAAGAATGAGATACCAATACAGCAACTCCAGGGCTCTCTCCTAGGGTGCGTTCTGGCTAGAATGTCGAGGAGAGCTCAGCCGTGGTGACGAGGACTCTCCAGGACGAGCATCGGTATCGGTATCTTCCATCGCCTGATCCTTCGGTGGCAACTCATGGGAACATCGCATACCATCTTGCTTGCTCTTGCGAGTTAATGCTAACTAGCACTAATCGTTGCTGGCCGACGCTATTCGACGCCAAATCGACGCTAGATCGGCGCGAATCGACGCTAAATCAGCGCTCTCTTCTCGACTACCAGATGCGGGCGCACACCAATGCACTCCAAAGACGGCACTACGAGGACATACGGACATACGGCATACGGCAATTTCGTGTCGTGCTGACTTCGGCGTTGGTTTTTGACTCTGCGGGAATCGTTCCACCTTGAACGACCGGCCGTTTCCGAAACGTCAGATCCTTCAACATCCACCCGTTCTGGGTCGACGGCGGCATTCCACGTTGAACACCGGCGGCGAGGTCGCCGCCGGTCGACCACTTCCTCGCATGATTTGCAACCGAATCCATCCGGGACCCCAAAACCGTGTGACGACAGACCGCGTGGTGACCTCGGAATCCCCAACGGCCACCGCGCGGTCCGTCACCACACGGCCTTGGAACCTCGGAGGCCCCAGCCGTCCGAGACATCCTCGAAGACCGACCCTAGTCCAAAAACCATGCGGTGACCCAGAAGCCCTGCTGACTCACCACGCGGTGTGGTCACCACCGTTTGGGGGCCCAGGAGCCGAATGCCAGGCATTACAAAATTTTGCGGAACAGCCCGGCACCGCTGGCTGGCAGCCAGGGCCGAGGAACGGGACATCTATAGTTTTTTAGACCCCCCAATAATGGAAACGAATGATCTTTTCGACGCCCTTCTTGACGGACTGGGGCCCCGCCAGCAATTGAACATAACTAGTTCTCCGCGGCACCCGCACCGCAACCACGACGATACGGCTACGGCTGCAACTACGGCTAAGCGTAGCAGATTGTGAGCGACGCCTTCGGCTAATAATGTGTCGATCTATACTGCGATCCTCTGACAACGTGCTCACAATTCCTGTCGTGCAGGGTAGCCATGATTTTTTCGCTGGGCGATAAAACTCACCAACACTTATCTAGCCCGCCCAACAATACAGGGAAACTAATGTCCGCCGCGACGCCGACGACTACGATTACGACTACAACCACGACTACGATTACTACTACAATCATAGCTATAATCGCGATTCGAACCACGACTACAATCACGACTACAACAATGACCACTGATTCCCACTGTTATCCGGATGAAAAGATGCTCACGAATGCTCTCGCGTGTAGGGTAGCCAGAACATATTGCCTGGGAGAAAGAACCACCCAATAGTATCCAGCCCGCCCAACAATACAGGGAAAATCATCTCCGCCGCGACGACGACGACGAAAACGACGACGACTACGATAACGACCACGAGGAGAAGCAAGAGGAGGAGGAGGAGGAGGAGGCGGAGGAGGAACAGGAGGAGGAGGAGGAGGAGGAGGAGGCGGAGCGTAGCAGAGGAGGAGGAGGAGGAGGAGGAGGAAGAGGGGCGAGTTTGCTCCCCGCCAAGAGAATTAAGGGGGGCGGGGTACAAAACTAAAGACCTCGCAGCAGCGGGAAGGGTCCGCTGGTAACTAGCACGAGCCAGGCTGGCCGTGGCCCTCGGCAGCGTGGGGAGCTCTCGGTACCATCCGAGAGACAGCGATACTGGGCCGTAGGAAGAAGGAAATGCACCACCACCGACACCTGAAGGATGGAGGCAGATGGTGGTCATGGGTGGTGGTGGTGGTGTGTATATATATACATATCTATAAAGATATACAGGACTGCAGTGGAGCTTCGCGCCATGCACCTTGGTCCTTGAAGATTGCGACGCAGACGGACAAGGCAGGAAGGTCAAGCGGACACTTTAACGATAACTCCTTGCTGCCTTTTCTGGCATCGCCGTTATAATGATGTTGTTCGTTATCCCTCCTCCATGCTTATTTTTCCACATTCTCGCCATACCCTGGGCATTCTCCCCATCCTCCTCAGCTCTTTTTGCGGAGGCTCCTTCTTGGAGAGCCTCTGGGAGCCTCACCAAAGTTCTCAAGCTTTCTTAAAGCCTTCTGGAGGCCTCCTGGGCGTGTTCTGGGGGCCTCTGGGGCTTCCTAAGGCCAACCTGCCTCTAACCGCGGTCTCCCTGAACGCCCCGGTCACGACTTGGAATGCTTCGGAGGGTGTCTTGGGGCCATCTTGGGCCGCCATGGGGCTCTCTTAGGGCCATTTTGGACCCCTGGTGTGCCGTTTTGGGGCTCTCTTGGACTGCCTGGAAGCCCGTTCGGATGGCTGTGGGGCGATTTTGGAGTCTCCCAGGCGACTTCGGACGCCCAGAAGACCAGTCTTGGAGCGTCGGGAAGCCGAAGAGGAGAACCCGAAATTCACCAAAAAACCTGCATTAAATCAATGATTTGTCCCTCTTGGGGCCTTCTTGGGGGTGCTCTTGGAGGTGCTCTTGGTAGGATCTTTCGGGGTATGACGGCTTCTTGGAGCGCTCTTATGCTGTCTCAGGGTTCTCCAGGACGTCTCCGATGACCCCCCTGATCGCCCTAGGTGTGCTGCGAAGGCTTGGCAAAACGCCCTGCGAGGCCGGGGGGCCGCTTCGAGGCCCGTCCGAAGGGTCCCAGAGCCCCAGATACCTGGAGTCCGGTTTTCGGGGGAGGGGGTGGGTGACGGGTTTTCCCCCCGCCTGGACTTGTAAAAATATAGGAAGAGGAATATACAAGACTGCAGTGGAGCTTCGCGCCATGCACCTTGGTCCTTGAAGATTGCGACGCAGACGGAAAGGCAGGAAGGTCAAGCGGACACTTTAACGATAACTCCTTGCTGCCTTTTCTGGCATCGCCGTTATAATAATGTTGTTCGTTATCCCTCCTCCATGCTTATTTTTCCACATTCTCGCCATACCCTGGGCATACTCCCCATCCTCCTCAGCTCTTTTTGCGGAGGCTCCTCCTTGGAGAGCCTCTGGGCGCCTTACCAAAGTTCTCAAGCTGTCTTAAAGCCTTCTGGAGGCCTCCTGGGCGTGTTCTGGGGGCCTCTGGGGCTTCCTAAGGCCAACCTGCCTCTAACCGCAGTCTCCCTGAACGCCCCGGTCACGACTTGGAATGCTTCGGAGGGTGTCTTGGGGCCATCTTGGGCCGCCATGGGGCTCTCTTAGGGCCATTTTTGGACCCCTGCTGTGCCGTTCTGGGGCTCTCTTGGGATGGTTGCGGGGCGATTTTGGAGCCTCCCAGGCGACTTCGGACGCCCAGAAGACCGCTGTCTTGGAGCGTCGGGGAGCCGAAAAGAGGAGAACCCGAAATTCACCAAAAACCTACAATAAATCTATGATTATTCCCTCTTGGGTCCTTCTTGGGGGTGCTCTTGGAGGTGCTCTTGGAGGCATCTTGGTACGTTTTGGAGAGATCTTTCGGGGTATCACGGCTTCTTGGAGCGCTCTTGTGCTGTCTTGGGGTTCTCTGGGACGTCTCCGATGACCCCCCTGATCGCCCTAGGTGTGCTGCGAAGGCTTGGCAAAACGCCCTGCGAGGCCCGGGGGGCCGCTTCGAGGCCCGTCCGAAGGGTCCCAAAGCCCCAGATCCCGGGAGTCCGGTTTGGGGGGGAGGGGGGGGTGACGGGTTTTCCCCCCGCCTGGGCTTGCAAAAATATAGGAAGAGGATATGTTATATTCATATATATAAATATTTATATATATATATACATGTATATATATATATACATATATATATATATATATCGTTTCGGGCGCTCTCGTGGGACATCGTGCACACCCGCACCCCGCACACCAGCTCAGCCTGAATCCCCCCAAGTGGTGGTGGCGGTGGTGGTGCACTTCCTGCTTCCAAGGCCGGCGCCCATGCACCGTAGCATGCTCGGGTTCCCTTCAGGGCCTGCTCCAACGCGGTACGGTGCATAATTCTTCGGCTCTGCGGGCCAAAACACGATGCATCGTACCGTTCCTTGGTCGAGGATCGACGACGCCTGGGAAGACGCCAGCGCGGTACGGTGCACAAAAATCGTCCGCGGAAGCGAGAGACGCGATCCTCGAGACATGGCGCCAGGTCGCCAATGACCTCCGCATTGTGCGACTGGGGCAGCATGAAGGGCGACCCCGGCGTGTCTCCAGCGGCAGCCCCAGCGGCCTCTCGGGTCCCGGCTGGAATTAGACAGGGGCGTCGCTGACGATTTCTGGGCTCGGTTGCAGAGTCACACCACACCCGAGCCGAATGGCAGACTGGCCCCTGCTCACCACAAACACGCCCAAATGATGAATGAATGATCCTGGCTTCCAAACACTGCGCAGACGGAAGGCCCACACCGCACCGTGCATTCTCTAAAATATACTTCCTGGACAGCAAGGACATGCTCCACCGAGGCGCGGAAACATGACAACCTCGACCCACACACCACGATCCAGCATCAACAACCAACATAACTGATCAAACAAATGTTGAACGGACACTTGGCATCGCAAATGATCTTGGAACCAGGAGGGATGTAACGAACCATGGGGTGGACCTTGTGCAAATCCCACAAGCCCTCTGAGCGGAGGTGGTTTAGGGCGCGTCCTCTTCAAACCCCATTGCTGCCCTTCGGGGAGGGGCTCACTCCTGCCCTACCCCCCACCCCGCAAGTCTCTGCCCCTAAGGCCCTAAGACATGACGAGCACGACAGACCAAACCAGCAAGGCAAACCAGCACGGCAGACAAGCACGGCAGACCAGACCCGCAGGCAGACCAGCACGGCAAACCACTGGCCTGCCGTGCTGGTCAGTTCGTGGCTGGCCTGCCGTGCTGGTCTGCTGGTCTGCCGGGCAGATCTGGTCCGCCGTGCTGGTCCACCGCGCTGGCCTGGGAGGCTTCTTTGGGGGCATCTGAGGGCCTCTTGGGCGCCTCCATCAGGCCTCTTGGAGGTCTAGCAGGCAGCTTGCAAAGAGACTCTTGCGGGCCTCTTTGGGGCCTATTGGAGGCGTCCTCTTATTGGCCTCTGGGGGCCAAATGAGCGCCAAGGACGTTGTCCTCAGGGTTGGCGTTGTTGGCTTTTTTCTGGATATGGGGGGGTCTGCTGCCTTTGGGGGGCCCTTTTGGGTCCGCATTGGGGGCCTCGGGGGCCGCCTTGGGCTCCTCCGGGGCCCCTCCTGAGCCCCTCGAGGGCCTCCAGAGCGCTGTGACGTAAGAAGAAGCGAATATGCTAAAAATGAATGTCCTAATGGGATGGTGCGACGTTTACCTCATGGGCCTCTCTCGGGGATCCGCTTGAAGCACTCTTGGGGCGTCTTGAGGGCCTCTTGGGCTGTCCTACGGACGCATTGGGCGTCTTTGAGCGGTCCTGAGTCGTCTTGGAGGCCTGTCGGATCTTCTTGGAGGCCTGTTGGGACTGTCTTGTCGCCCGGGCATCCCCGAAACATGCTGGTCTTGTGCCCTCCCGGCGACTGGAAGGGCATCACCCGCCCTAGTAGGGGCAGTCCCTAGTCCCCTGTGTGGACTCGTTGGAACGTCCACGATGGCCCAAGGCGGCTCTAAGAGGGCCCCAAATCCAAGATGGCTTCCAAGATGGCGCCAGATCTCTCAAGGTGGCTACCAATATGCTTCAAGAGGCCCCGAGACCGCTCCAACACAGGCTCAAGAGGCAACGGA